TAAAAATGTCAAAGATTTTTACGGGGATGATAATGTTCTAGGTTATGCTTATGATGATGAAATGGGATGATGATGATGATGATGATGGCGATTATACGTGTGTTGTTGGTGATGATGTGGATGGTGATGATGATTATGTCGATAGTGATGATGATGAAGAAGATGAATGAAATTGTTACGACCGTAATTATTGCAATGCAAATTAACGATAGTAAAAAATGTAAGAGCTATATGACATCATTTAATGATATCAATGATGACAATAATGTTGACGATGATGTTGATGATGATTGTGATGGCCATGATGGTGGTGATGATGACGAAAGTGTTGATGTACCGATAATTTGATTTTGAAGTTTGTAAATTTTTAATTGCTTGCATGTCATCGTCGTCATCATGTGTTAGGTGTCATATTATCACATCATCGTCGTCATCAACACATGCAACTGCTCTGTTATGATTGATTGCTTCAAAAATATGGAAACGGTGAGGACCATAATAATAATAATATTGATAATGATTATGACTATGATGATGACTATGATGATGACTATGATGATGATGATGAATGATGATGATGATTTTCATATTGAATGTGATTTCTATTGCCACTATTGCTAATATTGTTTAATAACACTGAATAATAACAGTGACGACGCGTAACATATGTTATCATCATTGAATGATTATTTTTATCATGTGACTCTGCTCAGCTGCAACATATGACGTAGGTATGCCTGGTTGATTATGTGGCTTTATGATAATGATACGATGAATGTTATGATGATATGATGAATGTGATGTTGATATGATGAATGTGATGTTGATATGATGAATGTGATGATACATGATGATAATACTGCTACCGAAAATAAGAGAATTTATTTCGATGAAACTTATTAAAAAGCCAATAACAACAACAACGTAGAATAACATTTACAACAAAATGGTAGCAAAATGTCGTATCGCAAAATGGAAAAACAAAATCTATCATTCTATATTTTAAATCAAGTTCCCGCGTATTTACTATTTGTTTGTAACCGTGTAATGTACACACATTAATATATTCACAAAATGTACACACAAAATACTCATATAACGTACACAAAAAGTAGTTTTGGGGCGTTTTACGTACATACTGCCGTCTTAATTTAAAATTCTAGTTTTTTTCTTCTTAACCCTGTTTTTGCACAAGTTACCTCTCTTGTGTGTTATGCAACTCTTCTCATTCTTCTATTGTTATCTTCCAACTTTTTCTTACCACCTTCAGCTTCCTATTTAATGTTTTCGTTTTTGTTTTTTTTTTATTGTAATTTTTTCCTTTTTTGTTATATACTTTTATATTTTTGGGTTTACTGTTTCTTGAAACATCTAACCTCTCTCTCTTTCTTTTTTTCTCTCTCTCTCTTTCTCTCTCTTTTTTTACTCTTTTTTTTATTTTTATTTCTTTCTCCATTCATCTGTCCACTGTTTTATTTTTCTTCATTTATCTGTTTTGCTTTTTTAACGCACCATATTTCTTTCAAGTCCGTTTATAGTTTAATTTTTCAATTTAAAATTTAATTTTGTTGAGATTAAAGGTCAATAAAAATAATAAATTAATTGACAAATTAACTAATTAATGTTTAATTGATCACACTACATTGGTTGATGTAGTTTTCAACAATTCATTCAACCAGGTTCATAATGAAGCCGACCCACATTATATTTTTTATTTTTTTATTTTATTATAAAATTGTTATCATTATTGTATTATCATTATTATTATTATTATTATCATTGAAAAGAACATCTACATCACATACAGCAAAGCAGCACAATAAAGTTTCATGATAAGTAAAAATATTTTTTCACAAAAATGTCTGATTTTATGACATGAAGACAACAAGAAAACATACATAACATATACAGAGAAACATAGAAACAAATGTACTTATGAAAAAAAACATACAAACAAACATAAATAAAAAATACAAACAAACAAACATACAGACAAACATACAAACAAAAAATACCCATCCCACTTGTATATAAAACATGTAAAATCTTGAAGTATACAAACAACACTTTTTTCTTTCGTATTTGTTGTACCATAGTCTGTGATTGTTGTTGTAACTGAAGAACTAACGCTGGCTGATTTTTCTTTTCTTACTTTTATTGCCATGTTTAATTATTTAAATATATACTTAATTTAATTTATTACAGAAATATTTATTTAAATCGCTCAGTTTAAACTTGATTTAATTGGAAGAATAGTTAATATTTTGTGGTTTCATATCTTTTATTGTTTTCTCTAAGATTTAGTTTAACGTTACAATTTTTTATATGGTAATTTAGTCATCAAACAATAATTTTTAATGTGTGTTTCAAAAATTGAATAGAAAATTTTTTTTTATGTTTTAACATATTTATACATCTCATTAGGAAATAATAAATGTCGTCTTGGTCTAAAAAATGTAGTGGGAGGTTACCGCATTCCTCAAATCAATATCAACTAACCATTGCTCTTTATACTTGGAGGTGTAAGGTTGGATTGATAGATGCAAACGGCTCTGTAAGAATGCATTTAATTGCACATTGCAATTGAAATTATGAATGAGTGAATGGATGAATTAACGAATGAACGAATGAATGAATGAATGAATGAATGAATGAATGAATGAATGAATGAATGAATGAATGAATGAATGAATGAATGAATGAATGAATGAATGAATGAATGAATGAATGAATGAATGAATGAATGAATGAATGAATGAATGAATGAATGAATGAATGAATGAATGAATGAATGAATGAATGAATGAATGAATGAATGAATGAATGAATGAATGAATGAATGAATGAACGAACGAACGAACGAATGAATGAGTGAATAAAAAGCAATGATTGAGGGAGTAAGTTGAAAAAGAAAGAAGAGCTGGATCGATGGAAAAAACAATGGCAAATATCGATTGAACATCATTCATTTATTCGTTCGTTCGTTCGTTCCTTCATTCATTCATTTGTTCATTTATTCATTCATTCATTCACTCATTCATTCATTCATTGAGTCAGTCAGTCATTTATTAATTCATTTTTCAATGTTCTTCCAAACATGTTTAACGGATATGTTATCATTATTACAACAATCGTATGAATGAATGAATCGTAAACATTGCATGCAGTAACAGGCAGATGACCCAAACAACTTTACCTAATTATGTTAATAATAAAACTAATTTATTAATTAATAATCTCAATGATATTATTTCGTTAAGGTTGTAAATGTATAAATAATAGTGCTATGTATATGTTAATAATACTACTAGATATAATTAAAACAGCAATAATTATGACTGATACATACGTACGTACTAATGGTGTAATACTAATGTACTCTTAAGTTTGTACTTTATATAAAAATAAGGATGAACACCTTTGCATGATGGTAATTATTATTTTCAGTGTTTAAATTATTTTCATTTTTATATTATTATTTTTAAATAACTTCTCATTTTTTAGATTCATATAAAATTAAATTAACGACAAAAAATTTGTATTTCGTATACACGCACTTCGAATCCTTTTCATTTTATTTCGATTTTCAAGTTCGATAATTAGCGTTTATTTATTTTTTCATTCATTCATTCATTCATTCATTCATTCATTCATTCATTCATTTATTTGGTTATTCGTTCATTTTTTCATTCGTTTATTTATTTACTCATTCATTCAGTCACTCACTCACTTCTTCACTTGTTTATTTATTTAAAACTGTTCAGCTAAATGTACAATTTTTAATCAAATTCAACTTATTAACACACAATTCACGTCATGTCTTCCATCCACATACAAACACACACACACATACACATACACACACGTTCAACACACACACACACACACACACACGCTCACACATACACAGATACACACCTAGACACATACACTAGCACACAAACACACACACCACATACACGAACACACACACTACATACACACATGTACACACACATATACCTACATATGAATGATCACATACACACACACACACACACACACACACACACACACACTGACACACACACACACAAACACACACATACTTGTGCACAAAGTTCATGTGTTAAGACTACATCATACTGCATGTAATGTAACAGTTGTTTATGATTCAAAGGAGAGAGAGAGAATGTTGAAGCAATGATGGATAAGATGATATTATGGAAAAAGAAAAAAAAGAAAGAGAAAGAAGAAGAGAGATAGTGAGTGAAAGTAAGAGGGAGAAGTAGTGAGTAAAAGAAAAAAAAAATAAACGAATGCGATGTGGTTGTGTATGAATTCTGTAGATTATATTTTATCAAATACGGAGTTTTAGCATTGAGGTTTTACCATTTCAAATATTTTTGGATTTAAACATAACAAGTAGTTGTTTTAGCCCGTGTATGACATGAGATGAGTATATGAGGGGTAAAATAATAATTAAGAAAATGTTTAATTTGATATTTTTTTAAATTTTAATGAAAGTTAAAAATGAACGGCAGTTAATTTGGTTGGTTTATTTGGAAAAATGTGTTTCCGATTTTCAATCAAACGGGTTTTCTGTTGCTACTGATGAACATGACATGAAATCTTCATAGAGATGGTAATGGCCATATAAATATTTTCAACCTAACTATTTTTTGTATTAATTTTTAATAA